TTGCACTCACGTGATACATATAGCCTGGAAAATTCGAACTCACGTCTACCTCAGATATTCTTTCAACTTGAAGCGAGTGGTCATACCGGCTAAATTTGTACCAGACACGTTACCAGTAGATCATATTGTGGAAGATTATAAATCGAAGTTGGTTATTCCAAGAGATTGAACGAATTAACAAAATTATGTTGTCCAGGAATTTTATATACAAGATAATTTTTATCCGAGTATTGAACCATTGAGAATTTTTATTTATAATTAATTTATTATGCTAGGTAAATAGTCGTTGCCTCCCTAGGTCTCTCGAACAAGGATACTCCCGAACGACCAACATTAAAATTTATTGTGATCAGCTAATGAGTTCATGCTGTCAACACGAGCCTCAATCATTTCCTCCTGAAAATGGACTTTCATTCTGAGTCAAGAAAAGAAGTCGCTCCTAAACAGGAAGTGTCAAACCAAAATCCATCTCAGATAATTCAAAATTTGACCTCTGAATATTCAATCTCTTTGCCAGAAAAAATGCTTAGCAAATCCATGTCATGTCTCAACGATGACTCTGAAGATGACTTGTTTCCAAATTCTCCTGAGTCTGCCGAGGAATCGTTCACTTCCTCGCCTCACAGCGAGCCCCACGACGCGGTCCTGAACGACCTCATGCCCCCACGACCCTCAAGCGACGGCGACCAGCCAACGTCCACAAGCAACAAGACTTTCAAGTGCACTCGATGCAAGTACGAAACCGACCGCAAAAATAACTTGAAACGCCACATCACAACCATGCACGACCCCGCTCCTTCCACCCTAGACTGCTGTGGCACTCGGTTTGCAACCAAAGGAGATCTGCGCGAACACACTAAGGCTGCCCACGGGTCAGGCTACACTTGCTGGCAATGCGGTCACAACTTCTGTAGACGAGCTCTCCTCCAACGCCATCAGTCCGTACACTCAGGATTAAAAGCTTTCTCTTGCTCTAAATGTGGTTATCAATCGAGCCACAAGTCTAACATGCAGCGGCATATGCAAGTTCATTTTCAAACAAGAACCTCAGGATCATCTGGACTAAAGGATCGTCTGAAAAGTAATCTGAAAAGTAATGTTCGGACTTCTCCTTGGAAGAACATTGATGGACCTTTACGACATGGACAAAGTTCAACATCAAGAGGATTTCCAGCAGCCATCCATAGACGCTTTACAGACGAAGCTAATCGAAGGTCCACGGCAATAAATTCTGAAGCTGAGTTTCCACCTGTAAAGCATATACCGTTCGAACAATACCGTCATGCATCAGATCACGGTCCTTTTTCTAGAGTGCTTTCAAACATTGCCGCCGCTCATTGGCTAAAAGCTCCAAATAGCTTACACGATGCTAACAAAAATAATTTTGTTCAAAATCAATCATCTCTTGGATGGAGGAATAAAATGAATCCCAATGCTCCTGAAATATGGCGGCTGGCCTTCGGTCAACAAGGAGTAGGAAACGATGATAAGCCTCAATTTGACTCAAATAATTTTCAGTTTCCTCAGCAATTACCAGATGTAAGTGGACGAATTTCCGAAAATAATTACCATTTACCTTTACTAGTGGTCTCTAATACAACACCTACTGCCCGCTTGCTAGATCTGTCCACAAAAAGCAAACACCACCATCTACAACACGCACCAAGAATCGAAGTAGAAGACTCAGTAGCCAACAAGTTGCCACCTCCTGAAACTTCTAGTCACGGTCTACCAGGGGATGAAACATGTCTGCAGAATCGACATCCCCAACAGCAGTCAGCATTCGTACGAGTCTGTCCTCTGGGTGGCAAACTGCACCGGCCCATTCCTCGATATGGAGTCGTCAGACCCCTAGACTTCTCCATCAGCTCCTTCATGAATACACTCAATTCTCCCAGAGGTATTAACGTATATCAGGGTCACCTAACTTGAATGTTATTCAAATTTAAAAAGTGAATTACAAAGTTAATGAGCGATAAAAAAACTTACGTTGGTGACCGCTAGTTGGTATATCTGTGGAAAATATTTTTAAAATCCTTGATTACATTTTTGCTATAGTACATATTTGAAAATGTAATATTGAGTAAAATTAGAAAGATTCAAAGGAGGTCAGGATAAGCAAAGGAAAAAAATGTACTCCATGTGACTAATTTGATATAATATTTTATCTTTATCTGTGACAAAAAATTATCTTTCGTTCAATTAATTCAATGCTACAAGAAACTGAACCCTATAATAAAATTAGGACCCTTTGATTAGCCCCTAAATCCCAATTTTCCAGTACTTTAGAGTTCTCTGTGCGTGATTAAATTGAATCTCTCTGCCTTTACTATTTTAAAAATTACTAAATTTTAAAATAATGAATAAATTGGATATTTGTTTATTAAAATATTCAATTATATTTCAGTAGTCCATGCTGTCTCAAAATATCTGCTGAGCTAAATTTTTCATCGTCTTCCAGGTAACCGCGACCGCATGTTGGACACAGCTGTTCACGGAAAATCTTCAACTGACCCAGCGGAAGCTCAGCGTTGTACTGCGTCGGTGGCAAGTCCTTGTCAGCCTGCTAACTTGATCGTTAGTCTTCCCGTCGCCCAGCCGGTGATAAATCAGTGCCCGGCCTCTCTGCATCCTTTCATGAGTTTGCATGAAAATTCTTCTGAATTTCAGTCGAGAATACCGTTTATAAATTGCTTTTTTGAACCGTGTAGTGCATCAGTATCAAGTTTCGTTGGTAATAACACTTCCAGCTCTAAATTAAATACAACTTTTGACATTGACATCAACGCTACATGTAAAGAACCAATTGATTATTCTGTTAAAAAGTCAAAACTTGCATGCGCAGAACACAACGGCACTAATTTGACTTCGAGTATCGACGATAACTCGAGTTACGTAGGACGCAGAGAGCCATGTCTTGGATGTTCGAGCAAGTCACCGGAAGCTAGTGCGATCTCTTTTCGACTTTCAAATTCCCGTCCTTGGACGGGTGATAGTTGCAGTCAATCAGGAAATTCTACTAATGAAATTGATAACTGTGCAACTCCAAAGTATTGTCAAGATCGCGAATCAGACGTGCGGACTTCTACTTTAAATGTCAATGAAGTTGTTCCTGAACCATACGACCTCTCTCAAGTTTACATCCCCAAAAAACTTCGTGCTTTAAAACGAGCAGAATGAAGAGCATCGACTGCCTTGCGTTGGCACCACGAAAAAATATACGTGATTCAAGGAAAGCCGAATAAAGAGGGTCGACTTTCTCAAGTTTACATCTCCGAAAACTTCGGACTTCGAACAAGAGCATAATTAGAAATACTGAGTAACCTGTCTTCGCGTCTACGTGAAGTATCAACCACGTACCATGCCTGTGGTCATACGTGAACGATTTTTTCGTCTATGCACTAACATACTAGAGAACTTGTACTATGTTTTCTTCTATAAATTTTCGACTAGTTAAACTTTCTACAAGTCTTCGTATTACCCTAAGACTCTAGGTAGTCAATTTTTTATTATATTTAAGGACATATTGTATTGATCGAAGCAAATGATACTTCAAGATGGCAAAATATTACACACCACGCTTAAGTCATTTGAAGTCTATTTTCTGACGTATTTTTCATAAATACATGTAAACATTGTAAATTACTTCATTTCATAGAACTATTTCACAGAATCCAATTCAAATATTTACCGTAAGTTTTTTTACTCTAATATCTTCCGTCTTTTTCTGTTCTTGGGCTTTGAAATCATAATCTGAATACCGCAGCAAAGTCACCAGGACCAAAATTTGTGACATTGTGACAGGTTTTCCACTTTCTTCTTTGACGAGCGCCATCCATTCTGTAATCTAGACGACTTTGCAGGAAGTCTTGTTAAACTAGTCATTTAATTTAGCATCAAAATTTGTTATTGTCGGCATTATTTGCAGTACGATTCAAGCCAACTGTAAATAAAGTATTAGCTGATTATTTCTAACAAAACTCGCGCAATTTGCGGCAGAATACGTCATTTTTGCGAGTACTATTTTTGCGTAGTCCAAGCCAAGTGCACTATTTATGCTATGAATGAATACAGGGCGAGTGTAATGTACACAGTACAGGATATAGCTAATTAAGTGTCAACACATTTAAAAGCTTAAAACCTGATCGAGATTCAGCAAGACTATTGAATACCTTGAAAGTTTCAAGTGTTGTTTTTATAGTCACCGGAATGACGGAAGCGACATAAGGGTATTACCCGACATTCTTGACGCATGTTTACCGCTCATTTGTTATTAAAATGTGGGACGGAATATTCTTATTTTTTAATTTTTATCCAGTTTAAACTTGCAAATGAAATGTGAGTAAGTTATTCTAGACAGAGGTTTTCGTTTCTTTCGAATGAGCATCGTTCATAAGGAGCGCTAAAACAGTTATCTACAGATTCCACCATCTGAATTTTATGAGTAAATTTTCCTGGGTCGCCTGCCGATCGAAGACCACCACTGCCCTGGATGTAATGGACCATCACGATTCCTGCCTTCCGGAACGTAGCCTTCAACACTTCTGGACAATCATATCTCGGCCGTGCGTCGAACTAGCCCTCAGTCGAACGGCCGCTCGTCAAGGACGATAAATTTTGAAACAGAACTATGCTATCTGAAACCTAACCTCAGATGCGGTGAACGTAAAATTACGTAATTTAACGATGCCCGGAAGTCATATTCGATCCGCGGTCTGGTGGTGCACGGCAGGTTTTAAGCAAGGCCTGAGTAGGGCAAAGCCGAGAGGTTCACGGCTGATTGGTGGATGTCCGGAGAGATCCAAGGCGTTCAATTCAGGGCTTATTGGTGTACAAAATTGGTGGTGCACGGCTGCGCTCCCAATTTTCCTTTTCTATATGACGCCGTGCGTACATTATTCCTCTGCAAGCTATCTTATCAATCGCGTCTGACCTTGAAGCAGCACAAGTGTTGCTTATCTGGTCGTCGTTTGCTGCTCACTTGACGCCTAACCGGCTTCCTCCATCAGTCCATCTCAGACCACTGTAACTGCACAAGTTAGCCGGAGGAGGTCCTGTTCTGATTGAGTCCGTCGGAGAATCAAGTGAGCTCTTTATGGCATTTATATCATTGAAACTATTTCATCTTGGCCACCAGGTCTCAAACTAGCTGTGTGTTGATGTTAAAAAATCGAATTAATCTCCTGTGGAATACAACTCAATCGTCAAGCTCGCCGGTAACATATAAGAACTACGTAAGGATTGATTATTCATACGCTGAGCATCCAATGCAACTGATAAAGATTTAATTCGAGTAAATCTTCCGTGCAATATAAAACTTGTATTGTTATTGTTAAATCCACCCAATCGCCCATCACCTGCTACAGTTCGTTGATTTGTCCGAAAATGGGAGGTGTTGTGTAATGACCCGTTGTTGTGCGTCCAAAAAAGAACCGAGTCTACATTAAGGAGACTGAAACGAACTATTAATTTAGTCATGATTGTCAACTTTACATTGCACGCAACGACTGTAAAATTATCTTCCGTCTGGTACTTTCTAAGTGTGTGCATTTTTTTATGATGCTCTTCTACATTTAGCATAATTTCTGCAACCTAAGTATGAATGGTACGGATATTTAGTATTTTCGCAGGTAAAGGAATCGTTAGCGTGACAAATTACGAATCAAAACAGTAAAATAATAGAGAAAGTACAAAATTTTGAATACCATAAATTTGGGTTCAACAACGGCTTCTTGTATAGTTGTTTTCATTTCATTCCAAAACGTGAATTATTCAAGATTGCGGACTAATATTCAACGATAATCAGTTTATTTTCTATAGGAGAAATTATGTGTTCAGCAAGTCTGTGTGAATCTTCCAACCAGTCGTAATGAAATTGGATAATGATCAAAAATTTTTGATGGAAATAGCGTTCAAAACAAATTTACTACCATACTTTGTTGAAACTATAGGCAATGACTTAGAAGATATTTTCCCTAAATGGAGCTTCAGTTCTTTAAAGGAGTGTCTAGGGACAATTTTATCTCTGTTATTTACAGACGGATCGATGCAAAATTTGGTACACGTATGTAAAACGGAATTCTAAGACTTTTTTTCCTGTAAATTTTTCGAAAAAAATGAAAGAAAACGTGAAATTCTTAGAAAACGGCCTAAAAGGGGGTACTTTAGAAATCCTATCTCCTCCTAAGATTTTCAAGCTACAACATAGAGACACATATCATTCGATGTGTAAAGACCATATCTAAAAAGTCACTTGGCGGTTTTGTGAATTTCTCATTTTTGTGGGTGTGAAAGCATTTTTTCCGATATTTTGCGGAATTTTTCGATTTTACCCCCGCCCTTCCCCACCTTTTGCAAAATAAATTCCGAGCTATAACGAAAATGGAAAAACGACTAAATGACGTTTGTAGATATTTCCTTTCCAAATCGAATGGTATATGCCTCATGGATGTAGCTTCAAAACTGCAGCAGGAGACAGGATTGCCGTGAGAGAGATTTTCAGCTTTGGCAACTTTTCAGTAGAGGCAAAAAACCGCCGCGCGGCACGTAAAGGCACGTAACGTAGCCTAGATACCAAAAGTAAGCATCAACTCCCTTCAAAGTCAGTCATCGGTGCATGGAGCCACTAAATGAACATCATCCCGCGTGCTGTCTCTGAGGTTACTGAGCTCTAGCCGAGTGAAGAGCACATTTTATAGTTAATTTCCCGTTTTGGAATTACTGAAGGCCCCACCCCCTTCCCCCTTTACGGGATCTGTCGTGAACGCATAAATCAACGTACAGAGATGATTCTAGTATCGTTCGATGCGGCAAAAAGTAAGCTTTAAGATGAACCTAAAAACCGGAAAAGCCAATATAACGACCTTTGTACCTAGACGCTCCCCTTAAGCTAAACAGGATTTCCTGAACCATTTTGTTCGCGTAACACTCTGCAGTTCCGTGCAGTCTCAGCGTACATCCAGCCTCGAGGTACCTGCCGCGTACTACTAATACTAAATATTAGCAGCAAATAAATGGTATTAGTTGCATTTTGGGCAAAATATTGCACTATTAAGTATCGATTCAAGTACGTGAAGAATTTGAACGTGACAGTAGGGTCCTGGAACTTGACTTGGCTGAAGATAACTTTTGCAAATCGTTCCCCGATTGTCTCCGTGGACCCACTTATATTCTGGGTTCAAAAATAACTTGATATTCTTCATAACCCTGGCAATATTCATCATAACCCTGAAAATACACTTAGAACTCTGGGAATTTTCACTTACCACAGTTTTGCTACCACTGGCCTTGAGCAACCTTAAATCATAACGGTAATTCGAACCTAGATAATTTTTAGTTCCAGTTGCCAAATCAGTTTATGAAGCATATTCTAATGTAAGTTATATAAACCAAGAAAATCCGCCTTCACTGTTGGCGCCTTTGCTCGACCTAATTTAATTGGTTCAATATAGAAATTTTATGCGTCAAATGAAACATTTGCTCCGTAGTTGAATTCGCCATAGGCTTCAAAGTCTATATAGTACATTCGTAGTACAGCGAATTCTTTTGAAATAGTGTATGTGTCGTCAAGATAGCACTAAAACTGCATCGTTCTCGTATCATTGTTATTCTGTCTTCATCCATTCTCTTTCGTTCAAATATGACGTCTGTAATAGTTGGTTATGCATTGTTCTACCAACATAATATGCAATAGCAACAATAGTTGTCTGATAAGTTTTCTGATAACAATAAAGTGATAGCTGACCGTTGCCGGTGCGAATGGCGTGTAAACTAAGCCGATGCTACAGAGTAGGAGCTGCGCGGACCAATACGAGGAAGCTTGCAAAGCTTTATTAACCTCACCACCATAATAGTTTTTATTTTTATTTGTGAAAAAATTATACATTCAAAATATTGTGTATTTAATTACAACTGGATTATCTTACTTCATAGTATTTACACATATTTGCGAAAAAATTAACCGGTATCAATTGCGTGGTCGCAAATTTTAAAAGTGTTCTCATATATTTTCTGCAGAGAAGCATCATGGTTTTAGACTACTATTACATCCTGCATTCGGCTCCATGCCGAGGCCCCATGATGGTCGCCAAAGCCCTTGGCATCGAGCTAAACCTGAAGAAGGTGGACCTCCTCCAGAAGGAGCAGCTAAAGCCCGAGTTCGTCGCGATCAACCCTCAGCACACCGTCCCGACTTTGGTTGACGGCGATTTTACGCTTTGGGAAAGGTGAGGACCGTGAGGTAAATAGTTTACTGTTAGTTATGTTGATCAAAACCACATCAAACAAAGTATAAGTAATTATTATCGTGGTAATGGGGAGTCAACCAATATGTGAGCTTTATAGTTAGTATTAACGTTTTTTACTCGTGACGCCTGAGAAATCTTCGTTGCAGAATTCCTGATCGTTTCCTTGAATGTACAATGAAACTGTTGCATTCTCTAGCAAGCGAGTAAGTCATATTTTAGAGAATGAGATTAGGGAAAACTTGCTAATAATTAGTATTTTGTATACTTTTTTTCTACATTGGTGAAAAATTGAGTTTTTCTTTAGTGAGGGAAGAAACTCCTATTTAGTGAATTGATGACAAACACAGTAAAAAATTATTATTATTTCTCTTCTCTCCGTTTTATTTTCGATATTCAAAACCGATCTGTAATATCTAAGTTGGACTTGTTAACCCAGCGCCTAACTCTTTAATTAAGATTTGCCAGCAGCCGAATTCTGAGGTTCGGTCTTTTTAATTTTTTAATATTACTCTCATTTTGAAGCTTACTTGTGTAATCTCTTCTGGTTGCAGCAAAGCCATCATTGGCTACCTTGCCGGCCAGTACGGCAAAGACGACAGCATCTACCCAACCGACCCCAAGAAGCGCGCACTCGTCGACCGCTTCCTCTACTACGACATGGGCCTTCACGAGACCTTCCGAGCCTGGGCGGTGAGTCGCGTTACGTTGTGCAAGTACTGTTTCATTATGCCCGGTATGTGTCTAAAAGATACCTGTTCTTTGAATAACACCTTATTTTTCAGAACGAAATAAGTTATAATCATCGATGGAAGAAATCCACACGTTACTGAGAACATCTGAACTATAGCAGCAATCGTAGAACGTTTAAGCTTCATAAATGTTCAACAGTTGACCGGATGTACCTAATCTGGATAGGACTAGCTAGTTCATGATCGTTACTCATGACTAAAGGTTGGTATTCCGTATTAAGTGCTCAAAGCTATATCGCTTGATTAATTCTACTATTCATTTCCTCTGAAGTCGAAATTTTTGTGATTTCACATTTCAGCACCCAGTGATGAAGGAAAATGCCCTGCCTGACCCTGAGAAGAAGGAGAAGTTGCACGAGGCCATCGACAAGCTGGAGCAGCACTTCAAGAGAAACTCGACCAAGTTCGTCGTCGGGGACTCTGTTTCGGTGGCCGACCACACCCTAGCTTGTGCCATCACCACGTATCGGTAATTCTTCAATAATATATGCGTTCATGTACTCATCGTAATTATTCTTGCACTTTAGTTCCATGCTCTATGGTGTTTTCAATATTATAATTGTGAGGCAGGGAGCTCGGCGTAGATCTCACCCGCCACCCTGAAGTGGAGGCTTGGCTGCAGCGCTGCGCCGATACCATGCCTGGCTACGAAGAGATCTGTCTCGAGGGCGCCAGGCAGATGGCCGCTAAATTCAAGCCCATGCTGTCCAGGACCAAGTGATACATTAACAAGACCTGATCGTGTTTCATAGACTTATATCTGATTCTTTACAAATTCACTTCAAATAATGAAATGCGAAGTAGCATAATGATCATTCACATTACTGGTGTCATGCACTGTCTTGAGTTCTCGAACAATCGGCAGTAGGTGGCATCTACTTGTATTGTGGTTCAATCTTGTACGTTGATAAATTTGATATAATTGATCATATATCGTTTTATTTTCAAACTTTCCTATGCTTGAAGTTCAAGAGTGAATTTTTCCAATTTTTTCCTGACTAAATTTTCGTAGCAAAGTTACTGTTGATTAGACGTAGTAGTTCGTCCTGTTCTTTAGTTGCTCATAGCTCACTCGAATGAGTCTCATGAAGTTTCACAGAAGCATGGCCTAGTTAATTGTTCAATTTATCGGTCGAGAATCGATGCTCAATTTTCCCGTTGTAACAGATCTCCTAATACCTTAATTTTCGAAGGTTTCCATTTTGAATGCCTATGCTGCCTGAGCATTGTATACATAAAAATACGAATATGTTCAAAGCTTTTGCTATAAGCATTCGATAGGCATTTATAATTTTTTCAAGAACTCAAACAACAAACCAGGTAGTCAATTGATACAATAATAAATTAGAGAAAAATTTACTGCGATACATCAATGGTGGTGTCGGAAACAATGCTTACAAATCGAGAATGTTGTGCAGATTCCAGTCCATGCAAAATATATACAGCATCCTGGGCTTTGCACTTCTTCAACCCCTAAGGCATCCTGTAGGCTTAAATTTTAATTCTGAAAGAGGAACCTCTACAGTGGATGCAGGAACTGTTATAGGTATTCGATTACTGCATGGCATTGTGGAAAAAAGGAATTTGTCAGAGATGCGCAATACGGGCACCACTTGTCAGGAATGACATTGAAGTCATTATATTAAGCTCCACCTGAGGATGGGTTTCGTGACTAAAGTAGTGAATAAGAAAGGATTGCAAGATAGTTTTCTGTGATTATAGTGTAGATTCACTAGATTGTTTTGAGAATTTGTTTGATTGTGTCTTGTGTGGCTTGTGCTGGTGAAGTATGTATGTTGGTGGCAAAATCTGAGTTATGGAAAATGGTTTGTTTCATGAGACGGTATGGGTGTTGCTGATGGGTGAGGATATGTTGTGGGTGGGTTGGGTTTTGTTACACATCCACACCGTGCAAGACCACGTCAGCAGCAACATACACTTAATTCACCCAGTTACCATAGCGACCTATTCCGACTCAACCCAGCAGTCTTCCCACCTATCACCGTAAGATAATTACAAAACTAACACTAAAATTATTCATAACATAACATAACATATTGATCTCGGCGCTGAAGTGTAGGCCTGATGTGGCCTGTCGCCGATTCTTTTACTTTTCGTGCCTTGTTCGATGCGCCAGGCGACCTTCGTCGCCCAATGCCCGGAGGGCCGTTTAAGCTGTCGCTCGCTCCTTGACCGGGTTCGATATGGTGCTAGGCATTTCAAATCTGAACATATATTTTTCCATAGCTTTATCTAGTCTGTTCTTGAACGCGTTCATACTTGGAGCGTCAACGATGTAATCGGGGAGGCTGTTCCACATGTCGCTGATTCGCAGCGAGCAGAAATGTTTTCGCGTGGGTTAGTTGTAACGCAGTTTTTTTAGTTTATAGCCGTGGCCCCCGATGTTGGTTGTTGTTACAATTTCTAGTCATCCTTCTGAGACCTCGTATAAACCATGAGTATACTTGTATACTTCAATGAGGTCCCTACGCAGATGTCGATAACAGAGGCTTGGAAGCTTCATAATCTTTAATCTTTCTTCATACGACTTGCCCTTCAAGCCTGGAATTATCCTTGTTGCACGTATTTGACACTCGGTCAAAGTCTCAGTGACCACACGGCGTTTCCAAATTCTATTGCCCTATGAATCTAGGTAATCAATTTTTTCATTATAATTAGGGACATATCAATTGATCGAAGAGAACGATACTTCAAGTTGGCAAAATATTACAAACCACGCTTAGATCATTTGAAGTCTATGTTCTAACGTACTTTTTATAAAATACATGTAACCATTGCTAATTACTTCATTTTATCGAACGATTTTTACAGAATCCACTTCAAATATTTTCCGCATTTTTCTATTATTTGGCTGTGAAATCATAATCAGTGCCCAGTGGTTACAGTTCAGAATACCAAGATTTGAGCAGAGAGGCGCGGGTTCGATCCCAGCTCTGTGCGACAGTTTCTGGTCAGAATCGGCGAGGAGGCCGGGCTGTTAAGCAATGCAAAACTGAAGCAGTGAGTTGCGCGTTCAAGACCGCAAAATGCTGTTAATGTTCTGCGATGTTAAGAATCGGCGACAGGTTACGGCCTAATAAACGCTGAAACCGCTATTATTATTATATTATATACCGCATCAGTCACCTAGACAAAATTCGTGAAACTTTGCTAAATTTTCCACATATTTCTCTGACGATCGTCATCTCTCCTACACGATCAATGTAGAATGTAAAATTGTAGATGACTGCAGGAAAACCATAGCAGGAAGTCGTGTTAAAAGGGTAATTTACTTTGGCATCAAAATTTGTTTTGAGCGTTCGTTGCAGTACGATTTAAGCAAACTCTAAATAGAAAATTATTTGATTATTTCACACAAAACTTTTGCAATTTGTGGCACAACAAGGCATTTTTTGCATCAACCATCTTCGCGTAGTCCAAGCCAAGTGCACTCTTTATTTGATGCCTGCCATGAATACAGGATGAGTGTAATGTGCAGGATATAGCTAATTAAGTGTCAGCACATTTAAAAGCTTTAAAGTTTTTCCCGGCAGCATTACAAATGTTGAAATTCTCAACTTACAAATAATTATTTTTTTTTGTTAGTCCCAGGCCGAACCGTATCAGTCCCTTGAACGTGTCCGACCGATGTGAACAAATGAACATATACAGTACAAGCCTCTTCCAGACCACCCAGCCCTTCCTATGTTTATCCTTGTTTCCTAAGCTTTCAAAAGGACTATAGCTAAAACTTTCTAGCTGATGCAAGCAACTCCCTACAGCGATCTTCAGCTAACTTTGTTGATATTCTAGTTTTGTATTAACTGAAAGGGCGCTTAAACACATTAAGTATTCACGACAGAAATAAAACTCTCATCAAGTTTACATGACAATATTTCTGCGAGATGCTGCCACAAAAATCGTTATGGGTGCTATGAGCTAATGATGTTTATGCTTTGAATTCTCCCACCTAACCTGGGGTGACCAGCAAAACTCACTGTCGACGGTTCACACTGTTTCACACTGTGTTTCACACAATTTTTTCACACTGTTAAGTAATTAAAGAAGGCAAGAACATCGATCATCATAATCGAGATTCAACAAGAATGTTGTATACCTTGAGAGCTTCAAGAGTTGTTTTTTTTCGTCACCTGAATGTCTGAAGTGACATTGTTAGCGAGGCAAGGGGATTACCCGACATTCGGGACGCATGTTTATCGCTCATTTGTCATTAGAATAAAGTATGTAATATTCTTAATTTTGAATTTTAATCCAGTTTAAACTTGTCGACGTAACGTTATGTTATTTTAGGCACTTAGAGGTTTTCGTTTCTTTCGAATGAACATTTGTTCCCGCGGAGAGTTTAACAGTTATCCAAAGATTCCATCACCTGAATTTTATGAGTAAATTTTCCTCCTCTAGAACTCCTTGTGCACACAATTCCTCAGCAAGCAATCTGTCAGTCGCATCTGACCTTGAAGCAGCATTAGTTGTTGCTGTCTGGTCGTCGTTTGCTGCTCGCTTGACGCCTAACCTAACCGGCTTCCTCCTGCCTCCATCTCACTCTCAGTAAGTGCCCAGGTTAGTCGGTGGAGGTTCGGTTCTGATTTAGTCCTTCGTTGGAGAATCAGGTAAGCTTTTTATGGCACTTATATCATTGAAACGATATTATCTTAAGTCTTTAACTACCTTTATGTTCATCTTGAAGCATCGAATTAATTTTCTGTTGGAGACGACTCAATTATCAAGCTCACCAGAACTACGTAGGGATTGGTTATTTATACGCTGAGCATCCAATGCATCTGGTAAACATTTAATTCGACGCTATTTTCTAGCTTCAGTCATACAGATATTCATAATTTAGCAGAGTAAATCTTCCCTTGAATATTCTACTTGTAATGTTGTTGTATCCACCCTATCACCCATCACCAGCTACAGTTCGTTGATTCGTCCGAAAAAGGGAGGTGTTATATAATGACCCGTTGTTGTGCGTCCAAAGAAGAGCTGAGTCTACATTAATGAGACTAAGATCAACCATTAATTTAGTCATGATTAATCATTTTACATTGCGCTCAACGCCTAAAATTTTTGTGATGCCCTTATACTTCTAGGATAATTTATGCAACCTAAGTACGAATGGTACGGATATTTAGTATTTCCCAGACAAAGGAACCATTTACGTGATTAAATAAGACAATATATTATTCAAAACGACGAAATAATACAGGAAGTACAGAATTTCAATTAGGAAGTACAGAATTTCAAATAGGAAGTACAAAATTTCAAATAGGAAGTACAGAATTTCAAATAGGAAGTACAAAATTTCAAACAGGAAGTACAATTTCAAATAGGAAGTACAGAATTTCAAATAGGAAGTACAGAATTTCAAATAGGAAGTACAGAATTTCAAATAGGAAGTACAAAATTTCAAACAGGAAGTACAGAATTTCAAATAGGAAGTACAGAATTTCAAATAGGAAGTACAGAATTTCAAATAGGAAGTACAGAATTTAATAATAAATAGGAAGTACAGAATTTCAAATGCTAAAAATTTGGGTTGAACAACGGCTTCCTCTTCAGGCTCTTCTATAGTTGCTTTGATATTATTACAAAACGTGAATTTGACAACATTGCGGATTAATATACAACATTGAATGAAGTTTACCTTCTATTGAAGATATTATGTTTTTAGCATGTCTTCGTGAATGTTACAACCAGTCATTACGAAATTGGATAATGATCCAAGAGTTGTTGATGAAAATGGCGTCCAAAGAAAATTTAAAACTATATTTTGCTGAATCTCTAAGCAATGATATGAAATATATTAACCCGTAAAAGCGTAAATGGAGCTTCAGTTCTAAAGCGCTAGACAGGACAGGATTTCCCGAACTGTTGTTGTTGCGTAACACTCTGCGGTTCCGTGCAGTCTCAACGTACATCCAGCCCCCATGCAGGTGCCTGCCGCATACTACTAATACTAAATATTAGCAGTAAAGAAGTGGTATTAGTTGCATTTTGGGTCTGATATTGCACAATTAAATATATATTCTAGTACATTGAAATGTGATGGCGTGGCCCTGGGACTTGGTTTGGCTTATGGTAACTTTGCAAATCGTTCCCCGATTGTGTCTGTCAACTAAGCAACATTATGAGTTGAAAATAATTTAATATTGTTCATAACCCTGGAAATACACTACCGAATCGACACTTCAGCGAACTCGCCTGCGAACTCGCCTGCGAGCTCGAAACTCTGGCACTCATAAATCCTTCAATAATGAACGGATTTTATTCAAATTCGAAATATAAGTAGATAATATCAGTAATTTGCGGACGGAATTTTTTTCACATTTTTACATCGATAACTTTTTTGTTAATACGGAAAACCTAACTTAATTTTCAACTCTGGCACTCATAAATCCGTCAATTATGAACGGATTTTATTCAAATTTGAAATATAAGTAGATAATATCAGTAATTTGCGGACGGAATTTTTCAAATTTTTACATCAATAACTTTTTCTTAATACGGAAAACCTAACTTAATTTTCAACTTTGGCACTCATAAATCCTTCAATAATGAACGGATTTTATTCAAATTTGAAATATAAGTAGATAATATCAGTAATTTGCGAACGGAATTTTTTCAAATTTTTACATTCATTACTTTTTTATTATCACGGAAAACCTAACTTTACGTTCACCTCGCAGGTTAGGTCCTAGTCAGGTCTAGTTTCAGTATTTTGTGGCATTAACAAAAAGTAATTGACGTAAAAATCTGAAATAAAACCGTCCACAAATTACTGATTTTATCTACTTATATTTCAAATTTGAATAAAATCCGTTCATTATTGACGGATTTATGAGTGCCTGAGTTGAAAATGAAGTTAGGTTTTGCATTCGAGTTCGCAGGCCAGTTCGCACGCGAGTTCGCTGAAGTGACGGACCGGTAAATACACTTCAGAAACCTGCACATTTTCACCTATCTCAGTTTTGAAACCTTGAAGCAACCTTGTAGATCTTAACTTCAATTCGAACCTAGATAATTTCTCGTTTCAATCAGCAAATCAGTTTATGAACCATATTCTATGCACGATAAGCTATAAAAAGCCAAGAAAATTCGCCTTCACCAATTGCGTCTATGCTAGACCTGTTTCATTTGGTCAATATAGTAATTTGAGGAGGCGTCAAATGAAATATTTGCTCCAGAGTTGAACTGACTTTAAGCTTCAAAGTCTTGTTACATTCTGAATACAGCGAATTCATTAATAAACATTGTTAGTTTCGTTAAACTTGCTCTAAAACTGCATTGTGCTCGTATCATTGTTATTCTGTCTTCATCCATTCTCGTTCGTTCATATAAGACGTAGATAATATTTGGTTTATACATTGTTTACCAACAAAATACGCAATAGCAACAATAGTTTTCTGAACTCAAATTCATTCAAACTCTGATCTGCTTGATTATAACTTGGCCTTTGCGTCACTCGTGGCCAGCACTCGACGACGGGCGTGTGAACTAAGCCGATGCTACAGGGTAGGAGCTGCGTGGACCAATACGAGGAAACCAGCCAAGCTTTATTTACCTCGGCACCATCATAGTTTTTTAGTTTTTAATATCAAAAAATTATACATTTCAATTATTGTGTATTTAATTACTGTTCGGTTATGTGAATTCACAATATTTACAGAAATTATTGAAAAATTAACATGTATCAATTGCGTGGTCGCAAATTTTAAAAGTGTTCTCATATATTTTCTGCAGAAAGGCATTATGGTTTTAGACTACTATTACATCCTGCTTTCGGCTCCATGCCGAGGCCCCATGATGGTCGCCAAAGCTCTTGGCATCGAGCTAAACCTGAAGAAGGTGGACCTCCTCCAGAGAGAGCAGCTAAAGCCCGAGTTCGTCGCGATCAACCCTCAGCACACCGTCCCGACTTTGGTTGATGGCGATTTTACGCTTTGGGAAAGGTGTTGTAAATATAACTTGTTTTTCTTGTTCATCAAAACCACTGCTGCACAAAATTGAACTGTAATATTGTAAAAAATTGAACTGTAATATTTAATATTGTAATATTAATATTGTAAATATTGTAATTTAAAATTGAACTGTAATATTTAATTCGAACTCGTTAACCCGACGTCACAACTCGTTAAGATATGCCAGCAGCCGAATTCTCAGGTTCGTCTTCTTGATTTTTTAATATTACTCTCATTTTGAAGCTTACTTGTGTTATCTCATCTGGTTGCAGCAAAGCCATCATTGGCTACCTTGTCGGCCAGTACGGCAAAGACGACAGCATCTACCCAACCGACCCCAAGAAGCGCGCACTCGTCGACCGCTTCCTCTACTACGACATGGGCCTTCACGAGACCTTCCGAGCCTGGGCGGTGAGTCGCGTAACGTTGTGCAAGTACTGTTTCATTATGCCCGGTACCGCCCGGTATGTGTCTAAAAGATACCTGTTCTTTGAATAACACCTTATTTTTCAGAACGAAATAAGTTATAATCATCGATGGAAGAAATCCACACGTTACTGAGAACATCTGAACTATAGCAGCAATCGTAGAACGTTTAAGCTTCATAGACCTGATCGTGTTTCATAGACTTATATCTGATTCTTTACAAATTCACTTCAAATAATGAAATGCGAAGTAGCATAATGATCATTCACATTACTGATATCACGCACTGTCTTGAGTTCTCGAACAATCGGCAGTAGGCGGCATCTATTTCGGTTCAATCATGTACGTTGCCAAATTTAAGATAATCCATCAGATATCGTTTTCTTTTCAAACTTTCCTTCGCTTGAAGTTCAAGAGTGAATGTTTCCAATCTTTTCCTGGCGAGTTTTTCGTAGCCAAGTTACTGTTAGTTAGTCGTGGTAGTTTGTCCTGTTCTTTAGTTTCTCATAGTTCACTCGAATGAGTCTCATGGAGTTTCACAGAAGCAATGCCTAGATAATTGTTCAATTTATCGGACGAGAATCAATGCTCAATATACCCGTTGTAACTAGTATCGGCGACATCGGCGTCTACGCTATGGCGACATCCGGTGGCTGCCACCGTAAATATTACCGGAGAATATTTTCCTTAAAATAATCATATTGGTCGTCACAGGGCTTCTTATTATTACAACACTTCTCTTTAACTCCAATTCTTGTCTGTCTGCTACAAATCTTCTAATCAAAATTTAACACACTTCTACTTATCCTATCGATCTGAAATTTTGCACACTTGCGTAAAGTTGGAGACAATGCATGAATAAAATGAATAAATGATTTTAAAAATGTAAAAAAATTTGTTTCAATATTAAAAAAACTTGAAAAAATAATATTGTCAGCTACAAATATTATAACTGATATTTGACACACTTTTACCACTCCAATTGATCTGAGATTTCGCACACTTGTGTGAAGTCGGAGGCAATGCATGAATCAATTGACAGAATAAATAATTTTGAAAATTTTTTATGTATTAAAAAATTGAAAAATTACCTTTTTTTAATATTCGAAAATAAAATAAGAAATTCATTGTACATCTGTAACATTGGAGACACTGGATTTTATAGAAGTGTTGCCTTTAAAGATTAATTTTTAAACATATATTATTTTTCAATCTATATCAGAGACTATCGTCCCTGTTGAGATTCTTACCTATCTTTCTACAAATATTATCAAATTTTTCATCCTGGCTTGCTTAAGTTTATCCAGCTGGAAAATTTATTAATTTTGGGGGGATGGGAGGAAAACAGATTTTGCGTGCACTCTCTTCGCCGCTGTACCCTGTACCAGCATTTAGCTTGTCTTGCGAGCTTCGGCGAATATTTCCTTTTCTGGCAAATTCAAGTTAGGATTCGATAGTGCAAACAAAATTTGCACTATCAACAAAAACAACTCTCAAATTAGGTGAGAAGTCAACGACAGCACACATAACTAAATTCAAGCTCAGAGCTAGAAGCCCCAGACTACGCTGGGACATGGTTGAACTATACTACTAGTTCAACGATGATGCTGGGAAACCATAATTCAGGCGCATTGCTTAAAGCTACACTATAGCTTGATCCACACCCACCCCTTGATAATTATCAAGTTAAGCACGGTCATAATCGCATCTGGCCCAACTTGCTGCCAGTGCTCCGACATCTCCACCTTTGTGCTTGGAGAGTCGCAAGGAGGTCTAACTGCTCACTTGCACCACCTTCCTATCGTTCTGCAGCCAATAAAGTTAGTTCGGGATAGGTCATGGCCTAACCATGAGAATGTGTTAGGCTAGATGCGTTTTACAAACGTAAACGACTTTGAAGTTGAGTATAGACTTGGGCTGCGCTGGATTCAAGCACGCATGGAATTATTAGAAAGTTCGCATATCTGTTACAGATGAATTGCTCAATGGTTAATTTTCAAATTACACTGCATAATTGTCGCTATGTATATACCATGTATATTCTACATTTAGGCCAGTCGGCCATCAATTCACCTCTCGGACACTTCTCCGGCCGTTCGTGCATCTTCTGGCCGCAATAAACAATTAAAAAAATTATTACTTGCGTCATAGTGAAAATATGAAGCTATATCATAGGAAAATGTGGCTAGGTAGGTTCATGTGAAACCAAGTTCCCTGCTTTAATTGCGAGTGTGAGGTAATTCCAACGGGAGCGCTGCCGTAGCCCAAAAATTTGACTCTTAAATCAGCCCAAAAGCCAATGCCAACCCTCTACATGCAATAGAAATAGTCAGTCTAATACCTATGCAGCTGTTCTTACTTGCCTCATTTCGCCACACCAGCTTGAAACAAGCAATGCCTCATCCCACAAACTGATACTACAAACGGATTACGCCCAATAGCTCCTACACCAATGATTTAAGCCCATACCATCACTTCTTACAAATGCCGTAAGCCACAGGGTCCGCAGACCGCACCGGCTGTCTCTTATACACATCTAGATGTGTATAAGAGACTTAGTCTACTCTGCCCTTTAGCAGGCTTACGCACGGAAAGGAGGATGAAAGATATGCTGGTCTTGGGCTATGCTGGCCTCCGGCATGCATCCCCCTAACAACATGAATACGAGTTATTTCGTGAAATTTAGATTCATTTATAGGTTAATTGAGAAAATTGAGTTCGATAATTTATCGTTTACATGATGATTCAATATATTGGACAGAAATTATGCTAAAATAATATTGTACTATTTCTCAGAATCAAAATTTTCTCCTGCAGCATCGTGTTGACGAAATTGTGGCGGGTGCATTTGACACCTGTGTAGTCTGCATTTACGTGGGAGATTCTTGGTGTGGTAGTGATCGAAGTTCGAGCCTCGAAAAGTTCATGCCTACATGGTATGATGGTGAAGTGACTTTGCGTTATTCTAGTAACGTTTATGAAAATATAGTCCATCGTCTCCTTTCACTGTGATCTATTGACTGTCTCATTTCTCAATAATGAAAAAAAAATCGGAAGCAAGAACCATCTGTAATTCTGTAATCTGTATAGTATAGTGACTATACTAGTCCGAGTCTCCTAGACCTAGAGACTTCCAATTTCCAAACATATGACTTGAGCCTCTGGCCTGACAATCTGTTTAAAACTCTTATTTCATATTTGCTGACAAGTTTTACCAACAGCTTGATTGATGGTTTGGGCATGGATGATGGGTCTTCTTCAGTCCACGGTCCATGCTGCCCAACCTTTGCAAATATTTTTTGTGTTTTCATGATGATGAGGTTTCTTGACTTATTGTCTGTCTAATTGCCCTCTTGATTTTAAGCATTTTATATTATAATATTCTGCATTAGATATGTTGATGAGTGATGACACTTTTTTAATTTTTTAGCATTGATCTTGTGCCAAAGTCAAACTCGTAGTGGCAAACCAGAGATTTTTTAGAATCAGTTCATTTTTAATTTTGTCATCTACTCAATATTTTAATCAATTTCTTATGTATCATGTATGGAAATGCTGGTATCCAAGATACTTTTCTGGTCTACTTATAGGACTCAAAAATGAACTTGATTGATGAAGAGTCTAAAAAAACTGCTTCTTTGCCACTATGGTCAAACTCTCTTTTGATTAGGGTAAACGCACAATATTCTGACACTGTATGTAATTCCGACACCCCTCAATTTTTTCCTTTATATTAAGCTTGGTCTTAGCCTTTAGGGTAAACGCGGTAGCCGGTATATTCCGACATCGTGGGTAATTCTGTGACCTCTCTAGTTTTTCCTTTATATTAAGCTTTGTTTTAGTTCCATGCGTTCGTTGATGGTTGTTGGTTGAAATGGTGACGTCATACATTTGCGCGTCAAACTACTGCCAAAACACTAGGTCTTGGCCATCTAGCGGGAAAATATTGAGATCCAAAGAGAGACAATGCACGCTACCCAGTGACTAGTATGGAATATATCTACTTGGCAAGCCGCGACTGAATTTTTCGAGCCGTGGTTTTATGGATTTGCCAGCCGTGATTCCATTTCTAAGAGCCGTGATTCTATTTCACCGAGCCGTGAATTCCATATCTCGGCCATGAAAAGCCATTTACGAGGTGCGAATGCGAATTTATTTACAAAGTTTATGCACGTGTTACCCCAAATCTCTAATTTTACCCTTAAACCTGTCTCTTATACACATCTAGATGTGTATAAGAGACAGGTGATAAACTGTTGATATAAAAATAAAATTATGGTTTGAGACTTTTAAATAAGTCTGTGAATATATTAGGAATCCTTTAAGTATACTTGTATTTGCTGATTTTAAGTGGTAAATAAATTAATAGATGATTAAGTTAAGAGATGGTTTTAGACATATAAAAACGAATTCCAATACAGCTCAGAATTAGACACACACAGATTGTTCCAAGCTGTGTTGTTTGTTGTATTCTGATACAGCTCACACAAGGCATTGGAATTCCAACACAGGGCATCTAAATTGCAAATTACGGTTTTGAAGCGTTGTTGGAAATTAGAATTAGTCTCACTCTCACAATATGCCAAATTTAGTCACACACAGCATCAGAATTCAGCAATTTTGTAGATTTGAATTCTCAAGGCTTTTAAATAAATATGGCAACAGTTTGTGACGTTTCATCATTGCTTGCATGTAGTATGGTGTTTTGAGAGTGACGTAAAGCCGTCAGAACTCGAGTTGTGCATACGGTGGTCTTTTTATATCCATTCATTTCTAGCTACATCCTTAAAGTGTTGGAATATGGTGTGTTTACCCTAGATGGTTGAAATAGTGATGTCATACTATTGCGCGCAAGATTTCCACAAAACACTAGGTCTAGCAGGAAAATGTTAAGATCCGCAGAGCAAAAGTCCAAGTTAACTAGTAAGAACATCAAAACACGCCTGAAAGTTGATAGTTGACCTTGCTTTACTAAATAGTGATAAACTGTGTCGAAAGAATATTATAGTTTGAGACTTTTAAATAAGTCTGTGAATATATTAGGAATCCTTTAAGTATACCTTTATTTGCTGATTTTAAGTGGTAAATAAATTAATAGACGATTGATTTAAGAGACGGTTTTAGACACATAAAAACTAATTCCGACACAGGGTGTCGGAATTACGACATGCAGCCTGACACAGGGTGTCGTATTCCAACACAGGGTGTCAGTATTCTGACACAGGGTGTCCGAATTATGATTTTGAAGCACTGTCGGAATTAGTCTCACAACATTCTGCATTTAGTCACACACAGTGTCGGAATTCAGCAATTTTGTAGATTTGAATTCTAACGGCTTTTAAGTAAATATGGCAACAGTTTGTTATGTTTCATCATTGCTGGCGCATAGTGTGATGTTTTGAGAGTGACGTAAAACAACCAGAACTCGAGTTGCGCATACAGTGATCTATTTATAGCCATTTATTTCTTACTACGTCCTTAAGGTGTTGGAATATGGTGTGTTTACCCTATACAATCTAACAATCAAAGAATTATTTGAAATGTTTAATGTAATAGATCTTAACAAAAAATATTTAGAAACTACTGTTATTATTCAATATTCATACCTTATAATTGATATAATAATCAATTATCTTGATTGTAATCTCTTGATTATTACACCATAAATCAGTATTTCATTCTAATTGCCAAGTAGCGAATATTAAAAAATGTAATATTTGTACAAATTTTTATGAGAAAAAATACTTTTAATAACAAAACCATGACCAGGGTGCAGAAAGTGGGTGAATATTGAAAGATCTTTGGCGACGCATAAGCAGCAAATTGTATGCCTCACAATCTGAAACACAACTTGTTGCCGGGGCAATGGAATGAGTCCGGGGGCATTCCATTGCCGGGCAATGGAATGAGTGGAATGTCGGGTCCTTTGGTCTCTGGCAACAATTTAGGTGGAATGAAAGTAGACTTCTGGATGTGCATGTATTGCTGAAGCACAGGTTGAGGTTAGTATTACAGATGCAAATGTGGGATAAACAAAGTCTGACCAAACAGTGTAACCAAACATTTGGGAGCATGAGAGAGGTATATGAGCTGCAAAAAGATAAAACATATAATCCATAAAAGTATAATCAAATAGAAAACCTCACTCAACAGTTGATTAACACCAAAACCTGTTAGTATTGACTAGACTATCAAGCAGTAAGTTCTGCTTAGTTAGAATACAATTAATAAGTTGATCACATGAGAGTAATTCAAGAGATTAAAGTAAACTAAGGTAAATGGGCACAATTACAACTGTGGTAATCACTGGCTCATCCACAGCACACTTTCTCCCCACAAAACCCCTGTTCAATGAGACTATACCATCACAACCCAACATCATAGCTTGGCACAACAGCAACTTCACTCAAAATGATTTATACTGTAGCATGCAATAAACAGGACACATCTTTCTGCTCCAGGTCCTGACACCATTCCAGCGTCATTCCAAACCCACCTACCCCCACACAACAAACTCTCCTACTATCTTTCTTCAACTACCGTACGTGTTGGCAAAACGAGTACCCCACCAATGGCACTCATTCCATGTACTCCCCTTTCCTGAACCAAGCAAACCACCTAAAACCCCATCCTCACACTGCCCCATAGCCCTCACAAATAGCCTATGTAAATTTTTTGACAAAATTGTATGTCATCACCTACAATGCTACCTTGAGCAAGCATCACTCCTAAACAAAATCCAGAGTGGCTTCTGCACTAATCATTCCATGTTGGATGCACATGTTCAACTAGAATCAAATATCAGACTGGGACTTATTCAGGATTACCCAACCATCGCATAATTCCTAGACTTCTTATGGCCTTTAATTCAGTATGGATTACAGCCATTTTCCAAGCTTATCAATTGTACAGTCACTAAAAGCAAATGTAATAATTCTTATTACTTGCTGCAATCAAATTGCTGTGTAACAGCAGCTTTATTTTATGTTCATAGTGTAAAACTTTGAAGTATGACCCTGTTTCTAATTTTCAGTAGGTATGTATTCATATAAAAAACTTTAACTTTTCAATCAGAGTTTGTGACTGAACTAAAAGAGATTCAGGTTTTAATGGATACAATTTAATTCATGAGCTTAATTTTTAGTATTGAACATTAGGGCCACATCACAATGAGTTTTCATTCCAATTCATTAATCAATTTGTAGAGTCATCACTTTTGTGTGGCAAACACAGACTTCTTGACTCAGCCCAGTGGTAGCTGAAGTTTCTGTAATGCTACCTCAATTTTAAATTAGTCCCAACATTTTTGGATATTTTCCCATTGTATTCAATCTACTTACATTTTTGACAAGCAGGATTCTTTTGTGATCTATACGGTAAGTCAGTAACTCTTACCGTTTTCTCAGTCTGCTCTCAACGTAAATTTTTTCTCTCTGAATAGGGCGAGCATAATTGATTATTATTTAGTAATTTTTGTAGCATGAATAGTTGCCAAGGCCATGTTATGCTTTCTTGAGTTTGAGAAATTTTCTATGCAATGCGATGAATTGAAACCACTGCTATGTTTTTCTGTGAGGAAATGCTGCATTTATCATTGTTTCCAATATCTTTACATTGTTAATGCAAATATCTAATGTCCTTGATTGTAATTTATTTTGTTGAATGCTCATCCTTAAAATCACAATTTAGAAAGAGTCCAGGTCATGCTCACACTTTGCTCTAAACTTTACCTTATCATTTGCAAGTATTGTTAGTTGCCATTTGCAAAATGGCTGTTCAACAGAGACTGGAAGATTCCACAATGCAACCATATCGTCCTGCACCAACATTCACATTGGACTCACAGTCATTCTCCACCAAGAAGGTGAGTAGTCCCAATTAGTGGTAGTTATTGATGTTTTTTGGGGGGAATTTTTATCCTCAGTTCAGGATGTGTCTTTTATTCAACAAGGCAATGAATACTATGTTCCCATAACTTAATTTTCACATGCTTAGATAAATTTCATTACCTCGCTGCACTGCATTACCTTTTGTTAGAAATTGACTCATAATGTTAAAGTGTATGTACATGTCTTTTGAATACATACTATGTTTTTTGCATTGCATTATTATCAATGGAGACTCAATATTCTTCTTATCAATATTCTTCAAGTATATATAATATATATATATATATATATACTGTATTAATTTTACATTAACTGCCAGGAGAGAAAAACTCCTCGTCACTCAGCACCTCCCAAACCTCCCGCCAAGAGCTGCCCTGTTACTAGGATATTCACGCACCGACAGCCAACACACAGCGCTCCCGTGCCTGTGTCATTCAGACCTCATGTAGAAAAATGTGAGTATTATTCAGCCATTGAATAACTTACCAAGTCACTATCCATGTAGAATTGTATTAACTGATATTAATCATTTCTCAATTTATGTAAACCTTAATTTGATATTCCAGTTGTCATAGAAAGAATAAATTTTTGATTTTTATCATTTCTGAAGGTTTCATTCATTATCATTCATTTTCTGTAGGTATTATTCCCATTTTAATTTAATTATTAATTCCAGAAATGTGGTCAAGGAGCATAAGTTGGTATTTTAGTGCCCATCACAACATTGCTTGTAAATTTAAGTTATTCATCAAATCCTTTCATTTAACATACCTAATTCATCCCAATAAAATTTAGAATTTTATTTTGCCAATCAAAAACCAACTTTTTATAAGAGTTGCATTTCCTCAGTAAGGCTTGAAGAACCACATCATGGCAGTGCTTTTTATTCATGATTTCCTTTTCAGTGTTTTTATTTGTGAGCATTTTTCCTCCTTTTTATGGGTCTCTTTCCCTAGCAAAAATATCAAATTCAAAAATATGGCTTTGCAAGTCCATTGGCTTCCTCTCTTCTCCATTTTTTGGTAATTTCTGTGATATTACAATTTAGTAACACAAAATTTAGTCTCACAATTTGAGTTCCCACATCAGCTGTGTGTGTAATAGCAGAATGCTTCCTAAACTGATCTGTGTTTGTTCTTCTGCCATCCTTGAGTTCCATGGTTTTAATTAATTACATTTGTTTGTCATGGACATACAAATCTATTTTATCTTTTAGTTAAGAACGGATTGTTTGGAACCACTGAGTGCTTCATATTCAGTCCAAAAAGAATTGATTGCCTTGATAATGAAGCATCTTTTATGTCGACTGTATTTGAGTTTATTGGGAATGTAACTGCTATATTTGCTGAACTCCTGGAGTCTACTGACATGAAACCTGCCTTACTCTTGCAACTCCTTTACTGTCTTACTGAACCTTTAGATATTTCCTGTACTATTGTGCATAATGCATATTTATGAATAAAATACTTGAATGCTCCATCATTTATTGCATTATGATTTTGATATGATTTCAAACATTCATTTTTTTTAATTGTGTTCTTTACAGCTTTTATTGCTGAAAGTCCAATATATAATGCGCAGCACAGCAAGTCTTATTTCGAGCAATGCTATGAGATTGAAGATAAACTTGGAAAAGGCTCCTTTGGTGAAGTCTACAGAGTTCGCTGCAAAGAAAGTGGCAAAGTTTATGCTTGCAAGAAAACCATCTTGAAGTTTCGGGGAGATTCAGACAGGTATGAGATTAATCCTTCCTAGTTATGTTATCTGAGCCTCATCTCAAGAGCCTCATTGAATGTGGTGCTTAAATTCTCTATCTGTGAAGCAGTTGAAGATCCTCCAACCTGAATTGCATCTATAGAACATACTTTTGGAACTAATGAACTATAAAACATACTTTCATGCGTATGAATTCAGATTACCTACAATCTTTTAATTTTATAACAATTTCTTGCACCACATATTTGATGTCTACCTCAAATAACTTTTACTGCTATTCATAAAAAATCTAAGTGAAAAATCTTTCAGTAATTAAATATTCTTTGAATCTGACTTTGCTTCCGATTTCATTTTTCATTTGCTGTTCATTAAAGCTTGCTTTACATTACAGGAGACGTAGACTGGCAGAGGTTGCCAAGCATGAGAAGCTCCCCAAGCATGCTAATTGCGTGGAGTTCCATCGGGCCTGGGAGGAGCATCAGCATCTCTTTATTCTCACAGAAGTCTGCCAGAAATCCTTGGCATCTTTGTCTGAAGAGTCTCCTGGCTGCCTACCTCAAGACAAAGTCTGGAAGTATGCACTGCATCTTCTGCAGGTGCGGAGTACAAGCAGTGATAGTTTTTAAGAAGTAATTCCTGCAATCCAAATAGGAGCAGTAGGATTTAAACTAGAGGTATTGTATGGGACACTTGATTAAGGGCCAGAGGGAAAATTTGTGCATAATGTACTATATAAATTCAATCAAAGCTTGATTATTCAATTATACATTTATTTGAATTTTAATTATATAATTTTGAATGCTTTCTAAAATACCAATTTCTTGCTGACTGTTGTGATCAAATTTTCACATCTTGCACATCTTTGGTAAAAGTTTTTTAAAGTAACAATTGTGATGTTTTTTTTCAGGCAATTGATCATCTTCACCGTCACTCCCTGGTTCACATGGACATCAAACCTGAAAACATTTTCCTAAGTCATGACGGTACATGCAAGTTGGGGGATTTTGGCTTGATGTTTGACATGTCAAAGGTGAGAACCTTCTACTTTTTATTTAGTACCTGAAATGATTACATTTACCTATATTATTTATATGCTGGCAGTTAGCTATAAATGTTTTTCTCAAAAATTCTTATGTCTGGATCCTGATATTCTATTCTCGTAAAAGCTAAATCAGGTAGAAAAAATAGGCCTCTACTTTTAGGTTGGTGAAGATATTCTTGTTGCAAGGATTAGGTTCATGTAACAGTAACTTATTATTCATTTTATCGTTGCTAAAATATATCTGCAAAGCATTATTGATAGTATGACTCATATCAATTATGGTTGTCCTATGCTGGCAGGATAACATGAGTGAAGCCATTGAAGGAGACCCCAAGTACATGGCGCCTGAATGTTTGATGTCTCAGTTCAGCCCCGCGGCAGACATGTTCTCGCTGGGCATCACACTACTGGAGCTCGCCCTCGACCTGGACCTGCCCACGCAGGGCAGCATGTGGCAGAGCCTCAGGCAGGGCGTCCTGCCTTCTTCCTTCTCTGGTCTGTCCCGGATAAAAATTAGGAGCGAAATTAAAAATTATTATAAAATTGATTATGAGAGAAAATTATAAAAAAAAATTCTCTCTGGCCTGCCCCAGATAAAAATTAGGAGAGAAATTAAAATTATTATAAAATTAATTATGAGAGAAAATTATATATAAAAAATTCTGTCATAATTATTATGAAAGAAATATAAAAAATTATCATGTACTAGCCCACCTAACTACTATATATATATTTTTTTGCATTATTAATGCTTCGTTCAGCACATTTCCAAAGTTGCAGTGCCTATTCATAATTCACTTTATTCCTATCAGAACAATTTAATTTGTGAACTTCCATTGCCCTTTCATGTGAATGAAACCACAATTTAAACGTCTCCTTTGGCGTTTTCTTGTGATCAGAGGTGCAAATTTTCCAATGTTACCGCATAAATTGGAGTCTTGGTGAACTAATTCATCTTCTATGTCTTTATTTTCTGAACGTCATGTCCTATATTTGAATTTTCGAACGTTACGTTGACGTTCTGTTATTAGAGTTATTACAATCATCTGTTATTTCAGAGCTGTCACCGAGCCTACAGGAGTTGTTGCTGGGTCTGTTGGAGCCTGAACCTAAGAAGCGCCTAACCGCAGCCCAAGCGCTGCTACTGCCGCGCCTCAGACGCCTCAGCAGACAGCAGCGCTGCCTCAGCATCATCAAGGCTGGCGTCAGTTTCGTCCTATATCATTAGAATAAACTGATGGAGACAAAAATTCAACATTCTAGAGAACATTAGTTATTATTCACAAATCGAGTTTTAAATGAAAATGTAGAACATGTTTTGTACATTTTTCGATTTTGTGTGTTCATGAACTTCTATTTGCACTAAAACTTCTGATAATTATTTTGGAATGGGCCTTATTTTTGGACATTATGGGCGGAGGTATTTGGATATGATATTTGCTTCTCTTTGTCAGTATAATACTATAATAAAATTTTTCTTTATATAGGTATAACAATATTCAAATTACTTTGAGGTTTATTCATATTTTTGGCTTAATTTGGACAAGGACAGAATATGACAGAATTAAGATGCCCTTCTTCACGTGTCTTGTCTCGAGAGCGCAGAACTGATAATTGCCAATTTAAGTGAGTATTGTAGAGTGAATAACTTGTAAGAGATGTTGGGCAAAGAGGCGAGTATGGCGAGAGAGAACACTGGCAGAATACTAGCACTTCGCAGTTACATTCCAGTCAGCCTTCGATTCCTAGTGGAGAATGTAATACCGTAATTTTCGATTGGGTCTGATGTCCAATCCTACATTAGGTTATGGATCTCTTTATATGACTCATTGTTCCAAGAGCCGCTTGATATATACAAATTTAATGCATGTAGGCAGTGGATTAAGTAAAGAAAAAACTAGGGAATTTACCATAATCAACCATGGACTTTTTGTGATAGACAAAGAAGTTACGATAGAATATACAAAACTCTCAAATAAATTAACAATTTCTTTTCATTTGCTGCTAGTATTAGACGCATTGTAGTATTAACTGGAAATCGCATACAAATTAACTGTTGCATAGAAAACAACTGACCATCAGATGAATGTTATGTGCCTCACAAGCCAATGCAAAAAAAAAAAATAACTGCTTTGTGTGCGAGTGATCATCACGGATCATTTGATCCACGCTCGGAATTTCAAGCATGTTCCTCGTGTAATAACATAATTTTATTGCAGGTGAGAAGACTGCAGGCGCTGTGGAGTGCAGTACTGGCATGTTTGGTGTACGTCGTGTCGCCCGTGACGACGCGTGTGCAGGAGCGAGCTCGTCTCTTCCACAAGCTCCTCAGCGACACTCGTGACGCAGCTCAGCCTTCGCTACCTGCTACGCCTCCCAACCATAAGGCCGACCTCTCCCGTGACAGCTTCTCCTCTACCCCTTCCCGTAATAAACTTTGCTCGCTTAAAATATATTTTCTATGACTGCCAGAAGCTCATACTGAAAATGATGCAATATTTTCTCTTTTGGATCTATTTGGAACGTCATCTATTCTGTAAATTTCCGCTTTTGGAAAGATTAGGTTTCCTTGAGATGGTTTACCAGCACCTTTTGCTTATACACTCAAGTTCCATTCTTATCTTTATGTTTATGCGAGGACCGAATAATCTACTTTCCGTGACAGTTCTCTAATAACAATTACATGTCAATTATGTTTTCCTCTTAGACCTTTTAAATAACTTGTATCTGAATTCATTGAGGTAACTCAATTAAATCTCTTCTGGATAAAAGCTGCAAGTAATTCCCAGACTTGCCTGATGGTTGTTGCAGTTCATACGCGGAGTAATATAGAAATCAATAAGTGAATATTGGTAAATCATTAGTCAGTTCATTTCTCTTTGTTGAATTTACTGGCGTCACCCTTTAATACGTATCGAAATTTTTTTTAGAATTCTCCTCAATAAATTATGATGAATTTCATTTAAATGATTTATTTGACTATTTTTCCATAACAACGTTGATTCAATTTCATTCAAGCAAGGTTTCGTTATAAAGTTCACTACGATATCATTGCAATAAATGTAAACATTTTTACTTCTTATTTTCCATTGACTAGATTTCTGCCTTGATTCTTTTTGCTCTAGCTATACTTCGTATAGCTGAGAAGTAGAGTTGAGACAAGACACTCATCTCAGTTTATTCGTACGAGCTTTCAAGCTAATGCATAAGAGTTATCTTTTTTATAATATAGCATGCAACGATTAATTTGCGCTTAAGCTTTTAACTTCAACCGAAAAATATTTGTATTCAGGAGACGGGAGCTTCTCTGCTCACTGTTCCAATGCTGATCTGATTCGGCCGTTCCGCGCCGTGGATCGACAGCTGAGCTCCACTCCCTCCCACCACGATACCTTCACTTGCTCAGGGCCTTTGAGTTACAGGTCAGGACATCAACTGTAACCCTATTTGTCTTTCTGGTTTTCTAAACTAGTAATTTTTTAGATTGTTTGCACAGAGACAAATTACCTGAGCATAGTTCAGTTCCAGGTGGCACGTGCAGTAAAATGCTTGCTGCTTGCCTATCATCTGAGCATTTTAGTTATTCGCAATAATTTCAACTCAAGGTTACATCCTGTGACAAAACAGAAATTCATAAATGCTATGTATCTGTGTTTTTTTAGTATGTATAACACTAGCTTCAACTAGAACTAGCTTCTACTATAGCACTAACTTCATTCTAACTTCCGTTGTAATGTGCAGTGATCGAAACCTGGCATCAAGCGGCGTTGCTGGTTTCGGACGTCGCCCCCTTCCTTCATTACCTATTGCACTAAACTTGAACATGTCCGTGAGCGATCATTCTAGTCTAAACCAAAGTGGATCTCGTCTTGCTTCAGAAATTGATTGCGGCACCCCGTGTTCTTCGCGACAACGATCTCCGCCGCCGCCTATACATTCCCGTGTGCAGGAAACTGAACCCCAGCATAAACTGTCGGACCTCCAAGGTTCTCCCAATCAATCACAATGCAAGAATGATCCTCCAACTCCCTTCGCAACCACAAGCGCAACGCCTCGTCTGAACTGCGCTGCTGACAATTATACCAATTGCCTCTATCAGGGAAGAAGTTTAGCGCCTCCAACTCCTCAGATTTCATTCATTGTGCCTGCCACGCCTCAAAGCTCTAGATGTACACGATTATCTTCGGCCCATCAGGTTCCTGTTATGGGCACTCCAACTTCGCAAACGTTGCCTCGTCGACTATTTATGCCCTCTGGATTGCGGCAAAGAAGTGGATATTCCTCGCTGAATACTTCACCTGTTCTTGGGCAGCCAATCTCGCGAAGGTCTTCGGTCTTGTCTGAAGACTCAGTTGGCAGTAACACAACTAATGGCTGCACCTCTCGCAACTTAATGGACTTGTTTAGTCAAGTGGACTGTTCCGATTCCGAATGAAATAGTTGAAATGGTTTACCCGATTGCTTCATTGCATATGTGCCTTCTGTGTCCAGGCTCTTTGATGATGCATGCAGCTTCGTTCTGGGAAGCAACCCCGTCCTAATTATGTATTTATCATTGTGTTTTATTAAAGATTTATGACGTTGCTGAAATCTATTTTTACAGATTTAGCCCGGTACTAATCATAGCTACAAGAATAGATTAGCTGACATCTTGGGCTCTGTGTTGAATTCAGGAGTTTGCTTTCAGTCATTACAAAATGGTGTATGGCTCGGGAAGCCAATGTGTTTCTGATTATTACCGTGCTACCAGCTTTTCGCGTATTGTTCATCAAACATTGATATCTAGAAGAACTGAGGTTTCCTACTCGTAACAGTTCGTTTATCCGCTCTCGACGTAAAGGCGAACCTAGTTTAGTTTTAGATGTGGGTTGATCTAGTGCATCTCCTCGTTATAATGTACTTTGATATTGCAATATTTTTCATTGTAGTATTTAATTAATGTACTCATGCCAAGGAGATGTAGGCTCTGCTTTTAAAATAAGATTGTTACGTTGTAAATGTCTTGTTATTCTTTATTTGGCTCGATAATGTAAAGGACTGGGAACGTGTGGGCAGCCTTTCAAGAATATTTCATGCCACGTTCTCTGAAGGTATCGTATTCATAGCTAGTGTTATCGGCGCAACGTGCAACTTCTGTCTCGTTGACGAGCTTGCAATTATCCTTGCCTTGTATCAATGAGCATAGCTTTTTCTTCATGTTCTGCGTTTTAATTTAGAGTTCAGATTGTTGGCCCTCATTGTGGCTAGCATTTCGACTTCATTTAAATGCTGTCATTCGCCACCTGATTATTTAACTAATTATTCTTTTATGCAAGCCTACTCTCAAATAAGGCCTGCAACAAACGGCATGAAAAAAAACCTTCATTTTGGCTTTTCTGAACGTTTATTACGAAATTCGTCACCAGCAATGTTGGTGTGAGAAAAGTCTTTTTACTGTCAAATTATATGACGAATTATTCCTAAGCAATGTCATCATAAACGAAATGGAGGGTCGTTGAGATCTGAATGTATTTAAAAGTTTGTTTTTTTGTGTTTATCTCGCAGCTTTAGGTTGTGCGTGCTTTATCTGGTTTTCACGTCCCATTACGATGATCAGTAAAAAATAACGACTCTGATTTATTAGATGATCATCTACTACGGAAAGCTCTGGAACTTTTTTTAATAAATGCATTAAACAATGGCTTTGATTGTGGACTCTGATTTCTCAAAATTAGGCTAGGGCGATCATTTCTTAGGAATCCTGGTCTTTGCTCATTATGACTCATCATATTTGTGACATTTCGTGACGGCTTTACTGGCGACGGAAAATTTCGCGCTGTATGAAGCTTGGATTTCATTCCCAACCGGATTTCATAAGTCGCACCTTGTCAGTCATATTGAAAATGTAGATTTCAATTGATCTCTGCATTCTAACTAGAAATAATTATTATTGCTGCAGGTTCCTGTTATGGACACTCCAGCTTAGCAAACCACGACTGGAAAATCACTCGCTTCAAAAATTTTCTTCCTTGGCGATCTTCTCATTATTTCTAGCATGTATATCGTCTTCTATTTTACTTACCAAAATAGAGTTCTTGCTAGTTGCATTTTGTACGTCGTTCGCGCTTATGTTTCGCCTGTTGATTGAAATAACTACTCAATTGAAGCAATATTCAGAAGCTCATACGATTAATAACTCCGCACTTCTTGGGCAATGATTAGGCGCAACATTCATTTCCTTCATTCGTAACGAAAGTAACACACAAGTAAAAGTGTAAATAACACACATGTAAAACGTGGTTAACATAACGTAAAATCACGACAAAAGTTCTCGACGCCATGTAATCATTTTCCGTTTCTAAGTTAACCTCCATGCTGAGAGAACCTATATATCCGTATGTACCGCAAAGCAATAACTTAAGCTTTATTAAAACTGTACCTTTTAGGGGCAAAACTTGAAAAAAGATTTTTAACCTCTTTTAAACAGTTGAAAAAAAAACTTTTTAAAACTTAAATCATAAACTTAATGTGCCATACTTCAAAAAATATCCTTTGTCCAGCCACCATTCGTATAATCTCTTAGTGAAGACTTTAAATGTGTGCCTTATTCGAATCATTTCAGGTACGAAAATAAACTTGATGCTCCCCTCGTATTTCTCCGGTGAAGACTTTTAATATGTGCCTTATTCAAATCATTTCAGGCACGAAAATCAACTTGTTGCTCCCCACGTTTTTCTCAGGATTTTCATTGAGATTTATTATCTGACATCAGAAGGTTCCCCAAGGTTCATGCTAGGAGCGCGACCGCCAAGAGGTGCGCAGCTGCAAGAGTAGAGGCGTGTTGATGGCTCAGCCAGTGATACGCGCCTTCTTGCTGCAGCCACAACTCCCCGTCTTTCTCAAGCCTCATTGCATACTTCTTTCCATCCAACATCTCAGATAATTCTCCATGCTCAGTAGTACTAATGTTCCGATAATTTTCAGACACCATTGTTGGATTTGTCAGTGGACGGCCGTGGATTTGGGAACAGCCGGACGCTTCTCTCGTGGGCTTTACCGTTGTGCTCGCGTCACGCTTGGCATCTCTGTGAGTTGTTTCTTGTTCTCTCGACACCGTGCGTGATCCAATAGTGTCTGTGATGTGGTGTTCACAATCCAGTTTATCTTTCATAGTATCAACATTATTTCCTGTTTTTTGTTCTTTAGTTTGGAAATTATGTTCCTCAATTGCTCCGCAATTCTTCTCATATCCAACTGATGCGAGCTCGCCCGTTTCAAGCATCTTATTTTTATTTTGATTGCAATTATGATTCCCATTTGGAGTCGTGACCGTATTTGTGATAGCATTGTTGGCTGAGGTAGACTCTGCTCCGGCCTGCTCTGATATTATACTGAAAATATCTACGATGGCGTCTTCCAATGTACGCATGGACTGTTGATATTCTTCATCGAACTTGCCTATCAGTGTCTTGCTCTCCTCATCCGCTTCACAAGCATCTTTCACTGATGTTGAACACGGTTTTGTAGTTCGTGGTTGATCGAGGATTTCGCCATTATCCATGTCAGCGAGTTTCAGGTCATTCAACCTTTGCGTATTCATGTCGAAAATTTTCGCAAAGTTCTCTTGGCCGGAAAGTTTATCTTTTGTTTGATGGTGATCAGCAGCCGATGCTGCCTGGGCTTTTGGATCTCTCTCGTTTGTTGCGCGGACGAAAACCGTTGGTCGTGCTTTAACCATCAATTTGCTCTGCTCCAATGCTGCTTCCAAGCCATCACACATCTGGGGAAAGCCTTCATGTATTAAATCTCGTTAGATATTATCGCATCATATTATTTGTTTTGTTGACGATTTTACTGTAATCACTTGCCTTGTTTTCAACATTCTACGGGAGCAAGGACACGTCACCAATAAAACAAGTATGACCTGAGTTTATTTCTCTCTCAACGATTGCAGCTAGCATTTCGGAGAACTTTGCTGGCAGATAATGGTTTACGTCTTCCAGCTGTAGCCAGTTGGGACTGGGAAATTGCCACACAAGTTTATATCACGCATGAATGCTAAGACTAATTCAGTATCGAAACCCCCACGTACCATCAGCATTCACTGCAATTCTGGAATTGATTCTGAAATTAAATTCTAGAAGCAACATCGAGGGAGAGAACGAAGATCGTTACGATGCTGAATCTACTTACGAGTTACGGCCTTCAGAAAGAAAAAGTCGGCTTGGGGGAGACTCGATTTTCGGCATCAGCATTTCCCAACCCCCCGAGCCTTTGCCATCATTTCCAAACCTCCTTCAACAACTAAATGAATAGCAAATACTCCCAAGAAAATTTGCCGCACAATACTAAACGCCACCCGCCTATCATCAAATTGCAAAACGATTCTCCACCAAACATGAACAGCACCGAGAAACACAAGCAGAATAAATGGTATCCATCTTGCCAGGCTCCGCTGCGGCCATCATTCTTCTCTCAACTCCTACGACCACAGGTTGACTATTATCATTCGGACTTAAGCGCATCTCCGGCTGGAGTAGCCGGGTTTTACAGCCCACAGACAGCACCACAGCGTCACATGAACCTCTCAACTGTCGTCTGAGCTAACTGGTGGTGGCTTATTTGCTAGATGCAGGTTTCCTGACATGACTGTGCCCGGGGGAATGACAATAATTGAATAGGTAAGCATATCTATGCAGTTCTATTCTGTACTCAGAAGCTACCTAGCCACGACAAATTGATTATTGGTAAATTTATCCCTGTTTCTTACCTCATTCACAAGCTTATGCGGGAATTCAATGCCTTGGGAGCGACGAAGGAAGAGCATCTGACGGAAGGCTTTCCTGTGTGAGGCCAGCAGAGCGTCCGCGATGGCAAGTGCGTGTTTCTCGTTTGAACCGACGATTGTTGTCTGCGTGGCTTCCCTTGAAGGTAAAGTTGTGGTCTTGTTGCTGTGCGGAGTTAGGGTGCCGTAGTTAGCCTCGAGAGATGCACATCGCAGTGAAAATCGCTCAGATGCAGGCGTACTGTGTGCCAGCGTCTTACATGGAGCCTGACAACTGTGTCCGCAATAATTGGCTTCCACGGAGGTATCCTGACAAGACATCGAATCAAAATTATTACTGTATGTAGAATCATATGTGGATACCGGACTGGGTAGACTTGCTGGACCCTTGACAGGTTCAGGTGCCAGTATTGTCTTTCGTACTCGAAACATTCCACCTGCTTCCATCCCATTGTCGATTGATACGCCTTGCCTTATGCCTTCATTTTTGTTCTCGTCCTGGTTGAAATAGTTGTGTTCTTTAGATGGCGTGCCGTTAGTCTGATGCCTAAATTGTCGAGTTTCATGAGGACTGCCACTGATGATCGTGTGTTCATGTACAGCTGTCGACGAATTGAGAACCTCGTTGATGTCGGATACTGAATACAGTTGTTCGAGAAGCTGTGTTCCGGCGTTGTTCTCCTGTTTCTGCCGACTGGAGTCGCCAAAGTATTGTTTTGCCTGCCAAAGTGTTTGGTGTAGCTCGATTTCTTGCATTACCAGACTTAAACAAGTTTCATTTTCCTGGAGAAAGTTTCCCAGCGCTTTCCTTGTCAATTCCTTTCGAAGGTCGTTGTTCTGAAAAGGTAGCAAAATCGTCTGATGAATTTTCATATAAATGTTTTGTGGGAAATTAAAAATTATATTGAAGGTCGTTTTTCATAGTGTTAGGTTAGGCTCTCAAAAAAAGTTTGTCAAATTTATTACCTGGTTGAAGACAGGAAGCGAGGATTCGGACGTTAGTTGCTGTCTCAACCGTTGCCAATCTTCCACCAAGTCTCGTCCTTCCTTCTGTTCAAAATAATCAGTAGAAATTACGAAATTCTGTACCAATTAAATAAATGCTGTCTCAACTCTTAAGAGAGCTAATCAAGTTTTTATCTATATTAGGTTCATTTTTCCGAGCTGTAAATGTGAATCTGATGTTGGCATTAAATCTTTAAATAGTACCCTGTTTGAACGAAGTGATTCAAATTTAAATGAATTAACACGAAATCCTACCATCAAATTATATTCATAATTCACATAACGTAATTTTCTTATAATTTTAAAACTTTTAGATTGAAAAGTATACACGTGTCGTGAGATCAATCATGGCACGCAACTCACCGTCAATGTCTGCCAATTCTTGGGCGGGTAGAGCATGTCGCAGAACGGCGACAAAATTTCATCTGTACTGCTATCCGCTCGCCATGAATACATCGGGGGCGTTTCCACTTCGACATCGTGACTGCGCTCCGACAAATACCTACGTTGCAAGCAATGTTTATCAACAGTTGAGTCGTCCGTTGAACTGCCGAAACTTGGCCGTAGCCATTCTTGTGGAGATGTCCAGTATCTACACGAAATCTCCCGATCCGGTGACTTGATGCATCGGGTCATACATGGGACATTTTCTGTCATCCTGACGGTGCATTCTTTAGCCGCGTTCCTGCAAAACTTGGAACTTGAACTGATATGTTCTGATGATTGGAAAGGAAGGCAGATGCTTTGGTTTGCACTGAGCAGCGAATCCATCTCAGATTGTTGTCCTGATTCGGTGTTGGACAATGAAGAGCGTGCCGATGTCTGAGGAGTTTCGCTAAATGAATCTCGACATTCGTGCAGACCATTATGATGAGTATGTCTCAGTTGTATTGTTATGACTCTTGCATTTTTTGCCTCATATCTCGCGTGCTGCGTGCTCTCAACTTGCCTGCTGTCGCATAGGAAGCTTGAGGAAGCGTTGCAGGCATCTTCAGTCATCAGGAAGCATCCCTTGGGGAAGTATGGATGGTGCCGGTTGTGATACTGCCGGGTCCGAGCCTTCAAGTCCTGTCCGCATCTGCCACGAATTTGGCCTTGATGGCAGACGGCGTGCTGGTATTTTCGGGACATACTGTGCTTTTCCGAATTATTGCAGAGCCCATCCATGTTATCTTCCACCCTGTTGAAAAAATATTACTACTTCTAATTGCTGATGAATATCATTACCCGACATTTTGGTCCGAACAATTAATCCAATTTATTGTAAATCCAATATATTTTCATTTCGTTTCTCACTCATGCATTATATTACTGAATTATCGAAAGTACCGGTATTTGGTAACACCAGTGGTGCCCAAACTTTTCTCGCTGCATGCGACACGATAGATAGAATATGAGTGAAGCAGTTAAGTTTTAAAACACATCGCAAGAATCGCCTAGGATTAAATCAGTTCTTTGGCTGGAATATTTAATGTCACACCAGCAGCTATATTTGACTGGATAAGGGTTCAGTTCTGTTATGTTAAACAGCCTACATCGCTTCTTAAAAGCTCACTCCATTTATTTGAATCCTATGAATAATTATTCAGTATGACATGACAGTTACTATCAACTCATCGTTTTTTATTTAGAAACAAATCTAAAGAAATTGTTGCTAGAAAAGATTCATGGGAACTCACCTGCTATCACGGAGTTCAACTTGGTCATCAGAGTGAATTCGTTGTGTTTTCCATAGGCTCCCGGTACTGCATTCACTCTGTTTCCATTGCGACTGTAGTTCATCACATCTGCGCGTATTTTGTTCTTCTGAACTCCCATCGTATACTTGATCTTGCTTCCTACCGTGGCAGATGAAGCAAGGTTCTTGCTGTTGGGGAAGGATTAATTCGGGGGCATTTGTTGTGTTCTGGAAGGACAACGCGACGGCCAGTTCTTCGCCCATTCTGTGGATCAGATTTATTGCAGACGTATTGACAATACCCATGTGGTGAACTATCCTGAACCGCTTAGCATTGAAGTCTTGTGGTGATGGCTTAGACTGTGATGGTTGCTGTCCAACTTTGTTTGCTTTTTGGGCTCTGTTAGCCAATTCCTTACGGATATTCGCTTTTTGTATTTTGTGTTCTCCCATATCTCGGTTTAATACTGCCTCCTGCAAATTGTTTTGGATTCCAGACAGCGTTTCTGTGCCTTTTTGATCCTTTATTCCGGAGTGAACATGGTCAGTTCTTTTGACCGGTTCAATTAATCCACCGTCATTGTATGCTCCCACACATTGGTTGTTCTTTCGTTTCGGAGCGTTGTGATCATTCCCATTGCATTGCTTGTTCCTTGAACCCCCAAACGTATTTTCCAAATCTGAGCTTGCGAAATGCGTTGGTTTGCATGGACTTTCACGGAAGCGTTGTTTTAAATGCTGAGACTGCGAGTGCCAGCAATGGTTGGTCATCTGCAAAATTTGCTCAAGCTGGGATGGCGAGAGTTGAGGTAAGTAGTCTTGCATGGTCCAGCAGTGAGTCAAGAATATGCTAGTGCCCTCCATGCACTGGGATACGAGGTGTAGAACATCATCTACCCAGAACATCCACCTGCGTGGAGGTACTCTGTGCAACACGTGCACTGCGCCAAGAACTTCCTGGTGCAGCGACACTATGGCTTGCGACCAACGAACGAGTTCGAAGTAAATGCCATCGATGTTTAGCATTTCGAAATGTTCACGTCGTTCATCGCCTTCCTTGATTTTCCTTCCATGATGGCCCCTTTTGTTTGTAGGAGAAGGATTGCATGGTTTTTGGAAATTTTTCTCTTTTTGTTCTAAAAATTTTACCATTTTTTCTTCCAAAGGCCTTGAAACATCAGTTGCGGTGTTGGACAACAATTGTGATGTGCATTTAGGATGCAGACGCATGTTTTTGACCTCATCATCCGTAGCAACGCACTTCCTCCTTTCATCAAATCCCAGTGCATCTCGAGCGCTCCTGTTGCATTTTATTGTTTTATTTCTAATATTTTTTCTATTATGATTGTCCTTTACTACTTTTGAATTTGATTCCGCAAGAGCGTACCTTGCTGTTATCGCTTCTGTACGTCTACAATCCCGCGCTGTTGGTTTGTTGATGCAGCCTGTCTTGCGATGATAATTATAATCATCGAATCTTTCGTCCTGTCCAGGAAACTGCTCAGAATTCTCTTGCAGTTCCCATTGCTGCTGGAACTCGGACTTCGACTTACCGCGCGGGTTTCGACCATTGATAATTTCTGAATCTTGTCTGTGAAGGTATCGCGCATGTTCTCGTGAGTTCGATAGATCACTTGCTAGTTCTTGCAGGGCTCTGAATTCCTCGGAGGTGACCTGGGCGGTGTAAGCAACAACTTCGCTGAAGATGCTCATAAACTCCATGAGGGTTGACCTGATGAAAAGGTTTGCTGAATTAAGAGCTGACCGCGCATTGTCGGCTTCCTCGACATCCTGTTGAGTTGCGTTTTGCATGGCACATTTTTCGCTTACAGTTTTGTCTTTTGGATTTCCAGTCATTTTCCGAGTTTCTCCATCGAAACAACAAGACTCTCCTGGTCGTATGTCTGGAGCTTCTACCGACGGTGTATTAACACTTTTATTCTGCGTGGAAAATAATTTGAATTCATGGCAAATATATATATCAAACATGCATCACCAACTACTAGAAAACATTTAAATGGTGAATTTCACTATATACTCAAAAGAAAGGAAATTCCGCTTTCCCAGCCCAGAAACAAAATTTAAATATTTCAACAACCATCATGACCAGTAATGCAATGTAGTTTAAAACGTCACTTGAACGAGATCACAATTGAAAAAAAAAACATACTTTTCAGTGATATGAAATTTTAACTGATGGATTCAAATTATACATTATGTGTGAAAGACAGCTTTACTTAGTGCTACTCACGTTAGGTTGCATCTGCCGTTGCTGTAACCACTGCCACTGGACTTGCAGTTGCCACAGTCTCTCCTGCGCCGTATATATAAAAAATAATGATTACTCCCTGTCATTAAACGAATTACCTTCTTATTCATGTATTGCGTATTGGCTACATTTCTCGAGCACGTATACTACTCAGTCGTCGTTATTTATCAAGACGAACACGCAATCAATCCTGTCGATACTCGACAGTCAACAATGGTGAATACTCGTTAATAAAGCAATAAGCACCTTAGCTTGCAACAAGGAATTCTAGATTTCAATAGCTTTTTAATTACGAATACCTGAAGCATAACTTTTCCATGTAGACATCACGGTCATCACTCATCACCCGTCACATTGTTCACAATAAATGTAATTTTGATTACATTCTAGAATTTGTTATTGAATTTAACAACTTAATTTCAATTTCGGTTTAGTTCGATATACAAATCATCTTTTGAGGAACGATTCACGAGCTTCACTCTAAAACATTATGCAGCATCCTGACATTTTTTTATTTCATTCAGTTTGCACCAGAAATATTTTTCGAATTCTCATCGTTTATTGCCACTCGAAGATACTTGAGTTTGAAAACATTTGATCTGAGCACAGCGCTGGTCTCACCTGTAACAGGACGATGATCCCTTCTTCGTTCATGTTGGAGACTCAAGTACTCCTGGTGGTCCTTCAAGTTCTCTGTTATGCAATAACGTAGAGCTCGCACACCTCGGTATTTATAACTGATTCTTCGGGATTCAATTCGTTGTCTAATGCTTTGATGACAGACGGTTGTAAAGATATGCTGCCGCAGCCAGGTATCAATTGACCAAGTTTGAAGAAAATTTTGAGATGTTTCGCCAACGTTCGGCACAGACTCGAGACGATTCACCAGCGGGAAATTTCACTTTTCGATTTACATACGGTTCTCTCGAACTCAAGTTAATTTATTCATCGAGTTCAGTCGTTTTGACAATTTTCGTTTGAATTCACCAATTCTCCGACTAGAATGTTTCATGCAAACACCGAGAGTAAGACAGTGAAGGAAGTTCCTTCGCTACTGGATCTACTATGTTGAAAGAGATTGTATCGTGGATACAGCACTGCGTGCGAAAAAATTTGGGCCTCTGAAATCAATTAAAAAACATATTCCAATGATCTACTACCGATGAGCTGTTTCTCTCGATGCTTTTTATACGTACCAAATGAGAATCTTCAAGATTCAACAATTGAATTGCGATTACTAAATCCTCAGCAGACGGAATGCTGATCCGAGTACATGTTCGATTTTAATTTATTCTAGCCAAGAGTGAAACAATAAAATTGTATTCTAATGATTTTATTTAATTGAAAACTGCTGAGCTGAATTGATATACATATAGCTGATCATCTAATAATTGAATACGTTTCCAGGTGAGGTACCTGCAGCATAATGGCTAATTTTATTGTTGAACGTGGCGGATAAGATATGCCCAGCCACCTCAACGGTGGTAGATTGCACCTTCGGATAGCGTATGCAGTGTGGAGTTTGTTCGCAAAATTATGGCAAGAAGCTTTGCAAGAGATTATCTGCTGCCTGTCGAAGGTTTATGATTTCGTGAAATCTCCCCAAACTGTGAAGTTTGGCCTTTAAAAAAAAAGGCCTTTAAACTGTGAAGTAAAGCGCGGAGCTTTGTGTTTACCTCGCGTTACTGACGTTATAAATTCCCATTGAATAAGCTGACTTTGTGTCGTCTATCATAATAATATGAACATTGAACATTTTTTTTATATTTAGAACTCACAACATCTAAAATTTGTCGTTACTGAACAGCTGCTCGACAATTTTGGGTAAGAGTCCTCTCTCTACGTTTGAGTTACATTTAATTAAGGCTCATGGTGACCACCATGGATTAAAAAAATATTTGGCTTAAGTTGCTGGACAAAAAAACATAACTACAAATTACAGAAAAGCCTAACATTCTTTGCAAACGAGCCTACATTACATTTGATTCCCAAACTCATCACTCACTCTCTAGATTTTGTTTCATGTTTCGCGTCTCGAAAATTTTCCGGCAGTAAATTTGTCGAGACGTACTCTCAAATTGAAAAGCATAGAAGACTTCTTAAGCAGGCTGAAATTTCTGAACGCGATGGGACATGCTGATATTGGAATTGAATGAAACTGAGCGTTAAAAATGCATAAATTTTAATTTTCGTTTAAGGAATGGGCTTAAAAGTTGAGATAAGGTTGTCACATGTACGATTGCGGATAAATCTGAAATTTCTCCACATTCCAGTGGAAAAATGAACTCTGCAATAATAAATCGAAACATCATAAATGCGTGATGTTTTATCTAGATATTTATGGATTTGGAAGGGAGTTTTACTTGCCATCAAATATTTAGGCATCTATCAACATGTTCTCTTCATTGTGGCAACATCGCTTTATTTACGTTTCGGAAGTTCTATGAGCCTTACGTAGCCTGGTAGGTAAACCATAAATGAGTTCCGTTGAATTTTCTTCTTCTGTATTCACTGTTTTGCCTTTGGATAGAATGTACAAATTTTGTGTCTGAATGTGTTTATCAATTTCTGTGATGAAATTTGACTCGCTTGTTTTCCTTCATTAGTTTATTCGGGGTAGTATCAGTATCACCGTTGACTACAATACGTGCCAAGTCCTAACTACCAGTTTCTGAATATGAATGCCGTTTTTTCGACCTCGAGTCTTTACATTATATACCACATATCTTTTAAACGTTTTGTAGTAGAAATGAAGTACTTATTGAATTAACGAGTGTAAATATTTGAATCAGAATCTTGAAAAAATTCGCAAGTTTGCATAAAAATCGTCTACCTACTAGGTAGTAGGTACTAGGTAGTACTCAAGATATATAAATCGAGATGTACCTATAAACTAGGTATATCTTGATATATATTATATAGCTTATATAGCTAATATAACAATCTAGATTTAAATATAAATCTCATGATTTAAACAAATATCTTGTCTATGCTAAAATTGCTAATGCTGGTAGTGGTAGGCCTACTGTAAAATGGGGTTTCTTTGACCGGTGGGGTAACTTTGACCACTTTTCGATTTTTTAACAAAAACCCCCAAAACTCTACAATTTGACATAAAAAAATTTTGTCAATGGCCATCAAAGGCCTAATAATATTGAGGCTACGTAACACAATAGAAATATTTGAAAAGTTTACATATCTAATAGGTTAAAAAATTAGTAATGTGACCCACAAAAAAGAGCTATTATTTAAAGCCTGTTGGAGTATCCCCTCCAATTTTTTTATTTTTTGGTAAAATAACTCCAGGTTTTGATGCCTTGTAGTAGAACTCTTCTAGTTACATATGCAAAAGACAAATTTTAGGAAAGTGTTATAGGGTAAACGCGGTATATTCCGACACATTAAGGACGCATCAATAAATGAAAAACTATATAAAAAAACCATATGCGTTACGTAAGTTCTGTTGCCTTCACATGACCCTCAAAACACTTCACTACTACTGCAGTGTGGAATTCTGTATAGTTAATATATTCTCATGTTAATATATGAAAACGTATCGAAAAATCAACCCTACCACCGCGTTACACCACCTCACCTTCCACTGCAGTGAAATCATATAAACTGAGCTCATTGGAAACTGCCTGCCGCTCTTCCAAAATCGCGCGTGGTTTGAAATCCAATCCCGTGTTGCCAACACCGAATCAAGTTAACTAGTCGTTTATCTGTAGGCTAGCGGACACATTTTTGCAATGAATACATTCTAAAATAAAAATAAAACACATCCAGAATCTTAAAAATCTCACGATTGGACAATACCAACAAACTTTTCGATATCACACCAAAGTATGAGATAAACTTTGACTTTTCCAAGGCTAAGGCAATAAGTGCCCTTTTTAGCCATCCATTATGATCCATATACTGTTATTGTTAGTTAGGCTAATTGCAACATAAAAAATACCACTTCAAAAATACAAAAAAGTTGAAAAAATCAAAAAAATCAAATAAATAAAAAAAATCATGAAAAAATCAAAAAAATCATTGATTTTTGATTTTTAAAAAAAATCGCCAACCCTGACTACGCGTCAGCCATGGTCAGGAAGATGTGCCAGGTGCGCGGGAATTTATAGCGTCATTTTAACGACCTGCGCGGTGCGCCGTACTATGCCGGTAAAAAAAATGCGCCGTGCGCCGACAGCGCCGTACTTTTAAAAAGCTAAAATAGTTCAAATATGGACGCGCGGCAATGCAAATTACGTAATCACACTGACCGTACACACAAACGTGTATCCGCACTGTGTTGTGGTTGGATACGAGTTAACTAGATTGCTACCGCGTCACCTCAGGACTCAGGTTCTAAGCTTCAGCACAGTAATGAATATTCATTCATAGATCACAATTCAATCGGACATGAATTACAGAACTAAAGAAGGCAACATGGCTTTAGATCTGTCTCTTATACACATCTAGATGTGTATAAGAGACAGGGCCAAGACCTAGTGTTTTTGCAGTATTTCGACACGCAAATGTATGACGTCACCATTTCAACCATCAATGAACGCATGGAACTAAAACAAAGCTTAGTATAAAGGAAAAGCTGGAGAGGTGACGGAATTACCTACGATGTCGGAATATACCGCGTTTACCCTAGTTTGCAAATGGGGGGGGTGCCGCCCTGGCGCCCCCCAATGGGGGAACTTTGACCACCTAATGGCAGTCGTGAGGGGGGTAACATTGACCGGCTTGGAAATTAAGTTAAAATTACCATAGGTATATATAACATTTTATGTTTGATACACCTATTAATGTTTTTTTCTTTGTTTCAGACTCTACAGTCTTATATATGGTAATTTTAACTTAATTTCCAAACCGGTCAATGTTACCCCATCACGGTTGCCATTAGGTGGTCACATTTCACCCATTGGGGGGTAGCGCCCCCCATTTGCAAACTATGATACTTTCCTAAAATTTATCTTATGCATATGTAACTAGGAGAGTTCTACTACAATGCACCACAACCTGGAGTTATTTTACCAAAAAATAAAATTGATTTTACCACCCGGTCAAAGAAACCCCAAGAGCTAGGGTAACAAAGACCATCAATTTTTTTGAAATTACATCAAAATTATGAGGGGCAGGAGCCAGCAATTTATGGTGAGTAGAGCTAGAGTATAGACCTGTATTTTGCATGTTTCAATTTAAGTTTAACTTATCTAGTAAAGAAAATGGCATCATTTTGAAAAAAAAGTGGTCAAAGTTACCCCATTTTACGGTATCCATGATAGTGATACTACTTTGCTTGTCTACTCAAGATAAGGACTCAAAAACAGGGTTGGTAATTTTTTTGATTTAAAAAAATGAAATAAATCAATGATTTTTTCATAATTTATTTGGTTATGTTGCAATTAGCCTACTAACAATAACAGTAGTTATATGGATCAAAATAGATGGCTAAAAATGGCACTTATTGCCTTCAATAATGGCCAATAGGCCGAGGTTGTGGTTTACCACTTTGAGATTTTTGGGTAAACAATTATTGACAAGTCTATTCATTAGCCTCGTAATGTTTGTATGGAGCAAAGTAATGAGCTAGTAAATATTGACCATTTAACTGGATTAAATTTCAATATACAACAACAGATCTGGAATGTGGATATTCTAAACATTGAAGAGTCACATAACAAATAGATAGCTGATAGCACAATGCACAACACTATCAATAGATCTACTAGTTTTATGTCCTATAAATCTACCAGACTCTACCTTTTAAACACACCAACTAGCTAGTTAGTGACTGAGTGACCATAGTGGCAGAGCAGAGAGTTTTTTAGATTCCCTCAAGTTTATTTTTGAGTCCTATAGCGGCTATAAGTAGACCAGTAAAGTATCATGGATACCAGCATTTTCATACTTAAAAAATTGATTTAAATCTTGGAATAGATGAGGAAATTAAAAATGAACTGATTCTAAAAAATCTCTGGTTTGTCACCATGTGAGTGACTGACTGCACTGTTCCCATTTGATTCAGTCCAATAGTTCAGTACAATATATTCCGACATCGTGGGTAATTCCGACACTTCTTAACTTTTTTCCTTTATATTAAGCTTTGTCTTAGTTCCACGCATTCATCAATAGTGACGTCATACTATTGCGTGCCATACTATTGCCAAAACACTAGGTCTGGGCCGTCTGGCAGGAAAATGTTGAGATCCAAAGAGATACAGTGAGCGTCACCCAGTGAGAACATCGAAAAATGTGTCAAAGTTGATAGTTGACCTTGCTCTACCAAATAGTGATAAACTGTTTGTGTAGAAAGAATATTATGGTTTGAGAATTTTAAATAAGTGTGAATATATTAGGAATCCTTTGTATACTTGTATTTGCTGATTTCAAGTGGTAAATTAATTAATAGATGATTAAGTTAAGAGACAGTTTTAGACACATGAAAACTAATTCTGACACAGCTTGGAATGAGACACACAGTTCGTTCTGAGCTGTGTGCAAAAATTAGAATTTTATTGATTAAAAGCTTAATAGCTCTTAATTAAAAGCTTAATAGCTCTTAATTGAAAGCCTAATTAAGTAGTGTTCAATATTCTATAGCGTTCTAATTCCAAGATGTGTCGTATTCCAATACAGCTCACACAGCGATCGGAATTCGAACACATGAGTATCAGAATTACAAATTAGTAGAGTTTGAAGCGTGGCCGGAATTAGTCTCACACAGCAACGTCGAATTTAGTCACAGCAATGCCAAATTTAGTCACCCACAGCATCGGAATATATGGATTTGATAGGTCTGCATTCGAAAGGCTTTTAAATAAATATGGCAACGTTTTGTGACGTTTCATTGTTGATGGCACCGCATATTTTTTAGAGCAAACAGAACTCGAGTTAGGCATACGGTAATTTTTTTATAGCCATTCATTTTTTGCTACGTCCTTAACCCATTAATGCCGAGCGGTTCCATTTGGAACCAGCGGAAAGAATTGATTCATAATAAAATTGTATGGTCAAATCAATATACTAGTGGATGCATAGGTTTTATACACATCTTGGACGTGTTCTGGCAACGTTTGGTTCAGCTGTGCCGACTACTCCCTGCTCAGTTAACATTTAAAGATTGTAAGTACCGGGTGTCAGACAGGAGGGCTTGACATCATTGCAGAGAAATGTAAGTAGTTCGTTCTAAAAGATTTTTTTGATTTTTTTGATTTTTTCATATATTTAAATATATTGAGTGGCGGTCTTTAATTATTATTGAGGTATTGTTATTCATGGTTTAGTATAAATGTACTACGAATGACAAATTGGTATATAATTTTGTTGCCTTTAGTGTGTATTAGGTTCCAATAAATTGAATGTTTTTGGTACAGAGGCATCAAGTGTTGCAGTACATTGTACATAGCTAGCAGCTTAGCTAATTCTTATAAGGCTATAAGTAGTTTTTAACTATTTGACTATT